ACCCCAAACGCTAAACCCAAAACCCCAAACTAGGTGGCCAATGCCTTCAGGGCTCGCGCGTCGCTGAAGAATCCGGACTTCATTTTGAACGTGGGAGACAACTTCTACTGGGGTGGAATCGAGGAGAGGGTTAGGGTTTAGCGTTTAGGGTTGAGGGTTTAAGGTATAGGGCTAAAGGTTTAGGGTTGATGGTTTAGGTTTCTCTAGGGCGGGCATAGGGTTTCATAGAGGTTGTGGAGGTATTATCCGGATAACGGAAAAGCAAATGGGGAAATCATGGAATACTGAATGTGAACTGGGAGAGAATTATCTTGCAGGGAGAAAACCCTGTACAGTTTATTGTAGATCTAGTAGAGAACGCTGGTGTCTTGTAACACACCTTAAACCCTAAACCCTAAACCTACCTAGTCGAGGAGAATTGCGGTTCTTCCATGAACGGCATCACCGCGACCGCCAGGCATCAGTTCAATTCCATCTTTGAAGGTATCTACCAAGGTGCGAGTTTCTTTAAATGCAGCTTCTATAGGGCTTCATAGGGATATATAGGGTTTAGGGTTTAGGGTTTCCTACAAAATTAGGGGCACCGTTTTGCGGGGTCCCTTAGAAAAGGACTAGGATTTTGGGGTCTATATTGTGGCCTACCCTATTTAGGCAAACTACCAAATCATCTTCATCTACTGAATCCTGTGGGGTGTCGTTCTACTTTCTGTACAATCTCTTTGTATATCCTGAGGGTCCCTAAAGCTCCCTATGTCCGGAGACCCCTAAAACCTAAACCCTAAACCCTAAACCCTAAACCCCAGGCGCCGGTCTCAGCAACAAGCCTTGGATCAGTGTGCTCGGGAATCACGATTGGGGAGGTCGCCAGTTCAACAATGGCTGGGACCAGCAGATTCTGGGTTGCTGTTAAGAAATTCAGTTTAGGTTACTATGTTTAGGAAACCATACTAATGTATATATATATATACCCATATTATGGTACCCTAAACCCTATATACCATATATACCATAGATGTTAAGTTCTCAAAGAGCAACCCAGGATTGCATACACTTGGGCTAGCAACCGATGGATCATGCCGGCGCCCTACTACAGTGTGCGGGTTCAATATTCCGGCTTCTCCATTGATGTCTCTGGGCTGATGTTAAAGGAATTAATTTACGCTATCATAATGGGGGTTTCCCAAAATTAGGGTACCCTTTTGGGGGGTCCCAATAATGAGGACTATAGTATTTGGGGGTCCATACTGGGTCCTCCCTATTAATGGAAACTTTTTAATGGAAGCCCTATAAACCTATTACCTACGATATATCCGTAATATGGTAAAATACCTGAAGATCCCTCTCAGCCATCCAGGTGTTTGCAATTGACAGCAACGTCATGGACGCCAGGACACCAGACGAAGATCCGGAGCACAACCTCTGCGGTGCAAAGCACAACCCGCCACTGGGTTGCTATCAAGTGAGCCATAGTCTAAACTCCTAAAAAGGGGGTTATATGGGGGATTGTATAGGGGACTACTATAGGGGATACTAAGGGGGATGCTAGGAGTTTGGACTATAGCTTAAGTGAACATAATCAGGAAACCTTGTGATTTGCTATATGCTCATTTTGTGATATCTTAATTTGCGTTCTGAATCTTCATTTAAAATCCCCAAACCCTAAAACCCTAAGCCCTAAACCCTAAACCCTAATCCCTAAACCCTAATCCTTAATCCCTAAACCCCTTAACAGCAAACCAGGCCCGGGGCCACTTGCGCTTCCGTCGGAGGCCCGGCAAGCGTACAGGACTGCCACGGCTGGTTCCAATCGTTCTGGGCCCAGAATAAGGACTCTTGGCTTTCAAGCACCTTGGGTTAAGGGGTACGGGTGAAGGATGTAGGGTTTAGGGTTTAGGGTTCAGGTTTTAGGTTTTAGGATTTAGGGTTTAGGATTTAGGGTTTAGGATTTAGGGCTTAGGATTTAGGTTTAGGGTTTAGGATTTAGGGTGTAGGACTTAGGGTTTAGGGTATACATGCTGTTGCACCTTACTGGCCAGCAGTCTTTATGACTGTCGACGGCACTAAAGCTTAAACTTAAGGAGGTTATATGGGGTTATATAGGGATTGTGGAAGAGAAAATGGAAGCCATATTTTAATTTGGTATATATTGGGGTTATATAGGGGTTATATATTGGTTCCCTTACACCTTTGTGTTTCCATTTAGGCTTTCTACGTGACATGTCGAGGTTCTGGCCCCCTAAACCCTAAATCCCTAAACCTTTAATGTTCGCATGATTACCCTGCCAATATTAACACCCGCCCCAAAGCTTGTTTAGCGTTTTGGGTTTATGGAAGGGGCGGTCCAATGATAAACCAAGGGATTGGGGTAGGACCAGGTAATGCAGCTCGTAGTACTAATAGTACAAGTAGCACGGAATTTATAAGAAATCAGGATATTTTTGGCCGGATAATAGTATTATTGTTGCCGCTCCCTTATTGCCGACGGAACTTGTTTATATATATATATATATTCGGACTCTGAACGTGTTGGAAAGCAAATGTCGTCTTCCAGGATTTTTCTGGATCAGCAGCATATGTTATTGGCACTCCCGTTATTAATGGGATGGTTACATGAAGCCCTAAACCCCTAAACCCCCAACCCTAAACCCTAAACCACTAAACCCTAAACCCTAAACCCTAAACCCTAAACGCTGACCACAACCAGGAATGGGCGTTGAGAAAGGTCCCCCAGTCCAACGCGGATTGGCAGATCGGCCTGACCCACTTCCCCTGCGGCCATGAGATTAGGTTGCGGTTAAGGAACTTAATTTAAGTTACCATGATATGAGTAGTATGTTATTTGGGGATATTAGGGTACCCAATATATTGTAAGATTATATCCTCCTGTTGGGGTATAGTATTTTATATACGGAATATAATCTTACTAGGTTCAACCACCAAAAAAACGCTACTCATATGGGTATGTAGGGTTCCAGGTTTAGGCTACCATGACATGGGTATATGATGGGGCTCAGGGCTTAGGGTACCATAATAATTATGGGTATAGCGTAAATAATGTGCTTTCCTTACTAAAGTAATTTTGTTTAAGTTACGTTCCCTAGCAGCAACCCAGGAGAGCGGCTTTTATGCGCAACTGCATGGCATGGGTATCTCTCCGAAATTGGCCATGTTCACTTTTCCTGCTGGTTGCGCATAGGAAAGGAAAGGATAGGCACAAGAAACAGAAATCATCATAGCATTGCGGGCTTTAGAGGGACTACTTTAGCCTCCCTCATGCCCTACCAACAACCAGTAAGTTTTTATGGGCGTGCTTTTAGAAGACATCTGAGCTATGTCATTTCATGTGAAGAATTACTTATATTCAGCTTGGGAGTAGATTTCAACGCATCGGCAATTCGTACTTGCCATCGGCATTGGGAGGGAGGAACTGGGCTGGTTTTCAGATTTATGGTTTAGATGTGCCTGTGTTTTTGCCTGTGAGCTGGGGGTGGCTTTAGACTTCAACTGATTACCATCTTTGAGATGTCAAGATAGCAAACTAGTTCCTGGGCGAAGGCCCTGCACCCTAAACGTCCCTGAACCCTAGGTGGACTCCCGACCCAATACTACTGACTGTATCTGACTGTAAGGGGTAATGGTGAATGTATTAGAGTCTTCTTGTATTCCAAACCCTACACACTTAATCCTAAACCCTCAACCCTGAACCCTAAACCCTAGAAGAGCCCTAAACCCTCAAAGCCCAAACCCTAAACCCTAAAAGAGCCCAAACCGTAATTCCAGGCATGGATCTGCTGGTGACCGGCCATCGTCACGACCAGGAACTTCATGATCACTCCGGGCCAGGTGGTATGACCTGCATCGTGACAGGAGGTGGGTTAGGGTTGCGGGTTGAGGGTACGGCATTTAAGGTTTTGGGTTTCGGTTTGAAGCTCTAAGCCCTAACTCCATATCATAAAGCCCTAAACAGGAACCAGCTCTTGTACCCGCATGTAGCACGATGCCCCATCTCTCGCATCAAAATTGTGAAGCCTAGCGCACGTCGCCTTCGGCACAGCTCCCGAACCTCAAAATACTTGTGCGATCGGGGTCTATGCTGGGGTCCGGAGACCAACATGTATTCCTTTCTACATAATCCCTTGTAAATCCCTATGTAGGTCGCCATCCCCCCCCCCCGAGGAATACCGTTAATTTTGAGTTTTGGAAGCATCCAGTCCAGGTGGCGGCGGCATCACATCGGAGGCCACTCCCAACCCAGATGACAGAGAGCATTGGTATGGAGAGGGCCAGCATCCTTGCTTTGCTCATGGGATGTTTTGACCTTTGTGGCGTGCAGGGCTCCGGTTTTCCTGAAGGGATTTCCTAAACCCTAAAAGCTGAACCCTAAACCAAGTCCCTTCGGGTTGGGAAGTGATCTTGCCTAACCCCTTTGAAGCCAGCATGGGCCTCATACAGAGAATTTCCATCTTCAGACAGGAAGGTGAGTGTGGTATAGCCTTGTCAAGACCAAGGTATGGCTTCTACGATTTCCAGGTCTCCAAGCAGAAGATCTACATTGAGTCCATCAATTATGATGGAACCTTCCCCTTGCATAAGGCGCACGGTTTTCAACATGTTTTTACGCTCTTTAAAACTCCAGGAAGCATTGTCTTTGACGTTTTGCTCAGAAGAAACTCAGTTGTTGGTCTTGAAAATCCAAGGAAAGGTCCTGAAGACGGCGACTGTCTATCCACGCCGTTGACGGCCAAGCCGATTTTAGTGAAAATGACTGTTGTCGGCTCTACTTTGGGTACTGCCCCCACTCATTAACAGTTGGATAATATGTATAATATGGTTATATATAGCCCTTAATATGACCCTTAATATAGACTGTTAATGGGTGGGGGCAGGACCCAAGCTCTACTTTGATTCCTTGATTTCATGTTTTACAGCGACTTCACTGCCTTCTAGAGCGCTCTCGTGAGTTGGAAAAGACCGGTGATGTGCTGCGATTGTCCTGAGGCTCAGGTTCCTAAATCTCCGGCAGCCCTTGCTGCTACATACAGGGCATAATACAAGAGCCCCATCAGAATCAGTGTGTTAGCATGAGCCGATTATACAACCATATGAGACTAGCAACATTGGAACAGGGAGCTGGGCTTTAAAGGACGCTACCATAATGTACCACAATCTACATAATATATGATAATATACCAGAATATACCATAATACACTATAATAAACCATAACATATAATTCTTATACAGTATTGTCCCAATCATAAGGCGTTGAGAGGCATCATGGAGCTCCGGGGTATAATATGAGGTTATAGAGGGATTATGGAAAAGAAGATGGAAACTAGTATTTAGGGTTTAGGCTTTAATCCCAAAGCACACCTTTCAACTTGCCTCTCTGAATTGTTCGACCCGATGCGTCCGGAGAGCGAATTTACACCTATTCCAACCAAATCGTAAACCGCAAAGCTACATGCAAACCTTGAACTCTAAATCCTAGACTGGGCGGCACTTCGGTACAACTTTTGTTTTCCGTATTGTTGTATAGAAGAGCCCGTTCATAGATTTTTTTTGGGGGTCTTGCAAGTACCAAAACCCTAGACCCAAAACCCAAAACCCTAAACCCTGAACCCTTAGACCCTTAGACCC